TAAGAGGAAGAATGGGACTCACAGCCCATGGCGATGGCGAGTGTGACTAGCAAGACCATACCTATATTTTAAAATAGTGTCTAGGGTAACAGCCTATCGTCCTCTGTCTGCTTCTCTGCCATGATACAGATACCTATTTTTTTTTTGTTTTTTAAAGGGAGGACGAACTTTCTTCTTTTCACACTCCTTACTGTCGTGTGATTTGTTACCATCTCGCACAACACTCCAATCATCAAGCTCCATGTGTTTCTTCATTGTCCTGTATCTATTAATCTGCTGGTCAAACCACTTCTTCTTTAAATTATTTGGTACTTTTCCACCTTCTTCTTCGTTTGTCATCTCACTGATACCAGGTTGCAGCCCAGTGTCGTGGTTTTCTGTATTTGTCTTGCACTTCTTGGGTGGCTTGTGGGTGATGGAATTTTTTCATCTTTTTTGTACGTTTCTGTTACATCATTTATTCATATCTTTCTTGGTCTTCCTCTAGCCTTCCTCCCAGTAGTTCTGTTGTTAAAAATCCCATATGCAGTTTGGTTTGGCTGCATTCTTACTAACTAGCTGAAAAATATTATTCTTTGTCTATCAATATAATCCATACATGGTCTTATTCCGACTTTCTCTCTAATGCTGGTATTCGTACCTCTGTCGCTTCTGTTGTTGTTAGTGACCTTGCAGAGACAGCGCATTTCACATGTAGGTATTTTCTGTTCTAGTGCCCTATTCATTGTCTATGTTTGGCACTAATAACATTAAGTAGGGATAAAGATGCTATTAATAAATTACTGTTTTGCTGGAAGGGTGCCATTTGGGTGTCTAAGCACCTTTCCAGGCGATAGTGTTGTATTGTGCTATGGTGAAATATGGGATCACTGTCCAGAGCGATAGCGCAAGTTGCTAGCAAGACCCTCCCACGCTAGGAAATGTCTTCCACAATTAAAGTATGGGATGTCAAGGCCGTTGTTGCCAACTCGTGACTTCCGCTTGTTTCTTCTACGACGATCAACTCACGACCTATCTGCAATGATGTTTACTGAAACGAACATAAATTTCTCATACATTTGACATTCACAATCTTTCTACATTAACCAGTGCAATTTTTAAAATTGCCCACAAGAATACCTTAGGGTCTAACCAATAAACTGACAGTTCTTTGACATCTGGGTCATCAACAGTTTTTAGACCAACGGGTTTTCCGTCTTTAAAAAAAACGCGCCATAGGATACCAGCGATTCCTTTTCTCTCTCTTACTTTTGAACATGATACAAGGGCGCGTTTCCGAGATGTTATATCATTTGTCTTTCCCGTTACCTGCTGATATTAATGTGGGCTACTTCTGCCACAGCCCGGGACATTCTGTCAACTCAATCTGACACCGGTATTCGTTATCTTACGAAGCTCGGAAAACCACGGCTAGATGGGAATTTGTGGCCTAGGCGAAACATTTATTGTTGCCTATGAGTACAACATCTGCAACATTTATACTTATGTGTGGTGGTGGTCTTCTGCTTGTCGTTCTCCACCTCCTCATCCTTCCTCTTTCTTTTAATTCTCCTCTTCATCTTCTCTTTCTCTCCTGCTGCTCCTGTACCTTCTTCGTCTCCTTCTCTTCCTCCTCCTCCTTTTCTTGACGTTTGGAATGCTTCGCAGTCGGGGCAGGAAGAGATCATTAGAACTAGCCCTCCTGTTGGCTTCGTATATAGTACGTTTCAGTGTCTACGATATGTCTGCGATTCACATTCTTGATCGACCTCTGGGTCTCTTACGGTTGTATCTGTCAATCACACAAGGCATATTCTTCATCAACGATCTCTAGTCATGCACGTAATCTACTACCGGCCAGCATACTGGGATGTCAGTAGTTGAAATTTTGTTAAGCTTTACCTTACCCAGAGATTACATGTCAGGTCTACTAAGTGTGACTAAGCGTTTTTTAGCAGCTTCTCAAGGAGAGGAAAGTCTTTCAACACACATTCTGTAGTCTTTTCAATACAAAGACATAGCTAAAAGCTGTACCGTTCATATCTAATTTATATGAGTGATTGACGAATCTACAATGTCCAGTTTGTAGAAGAAAAAAATTTGGCTTGCTTTGTTCTATTTAGATTATTGAGGAAACTTTTTTACTGGTTATATTCAATGTCTAAATGGTAGTTCTGACTTAGGGAAGGGATGGCAAGAGACATGGTCATATAGGCTGCAGATGCACATCTTCTTCTTCTTCGCGTTCACCAGCTGAAATTCCGGAGTAAAGTTTTGGGTGTTCGTTCATCTCTTGACTTTAATCTTCTTCTTCTTCTTCTTCTTCACTTCCTCTTTTACCGCTGTGGGTGTCGAGGGAGATATAAGGTTCTGTTTCTAGCTCTTCTGGCTGCCTCGACCATAGGCACATCGTGCTGTTGTAGAGTTTCTCTGATGTTATCCTTCCATCTTGTTCTTGGTCTACCCCGTGCTCTACGTCCTTCTTCTCTTTCCATGTATGCTTTGTATGGTATGGTGTCACAAGGCATTCTCTCTAAGTGGGCAAACCATTTCACTTGCTGTCTTTGTATGTAATCCAGAATTGGTTCTGTGCCGACTTGTTCTCGTATGATCTCATTCCTGATCTTATCTCTTATGGTCACTCCTACAGCCCTTCTCAGACATCTCATTTCCGTGGTTACTAATTTTCTTTTATGGTTTGTTGTGAGTGACCATGTCTGGCACTGGTAGCACAGAGTTGGAATAAATATGTTTTGAATAAGATGTCTCTTTGTGCTGATTGGGTTTGTCTTATGCTGTAAGAGGGGGGCTAGCTGTCCCAATACTTGGTTTGCTTTATTGTATCTAATGTCAATTTCTTTATCCAATTTCCCATCTTCGGTAAATGTAGCTCCCATATATTTAAACTCAGATGCCTGTTTAATGTCTTTGTATTCTATTGTTATGTTTAGATCTGTCTTCTTTTTTCCTATTGACATTACTTCTGTCTTTTCAGTGTTGATTCTCATATTATTTGTTTTACATTCTTCATTCATGGATGTTAGATGTTGTTCTACTAGAACTAAATTGTTGCGTGCACATCCGTTTTTCAAATAAGGTTTATTTGTATGCAGATGCATGGTTCCTTGTCTTTCATGCGGATGTACTCCGACTTGGAAGGATGCCCCTATTAGTAGACTTCTACGACATGCTTGTTTGGGTAGACAAAGGGTCTAATCTTGTATTTTCCCACAATGGAGCATATGTGTGCATGTGTGTGTGTGTATTTGTGTGTGAGTGTGCATGCGAGCACACGTATGCCTTTGTGTGAGTGTGTTTAGAGACAGGCGTGGGCGGGAGGGGAGGCGAGTCTATGAAAACAACGTACAGTATTCCCATTTTCGCAGATTATTATGAACATTTTTCGAAATTGTGTTTATTCATACAACGAACAGCACTACTGCCCTAGAGCAAGAGGCAGACCGAGAGTACGATGGATAGACAATATATCAGAGATCCTGAGGCAACACGGACTAACAACAACTCGTGCAACACACCTGGCCCAGGATAGAAAACTGCGACTCCCCACTACGCTGTGAGGCAATTGTGGACAAGACAAGACAAGACAAGTGTATATTCATGTCATCTGCTGATGAAGGCTTTCTAGCCGCAAAGTTCCCATGTCGTTTGTGTTTGTAAATACAGTGAAGCTAAATGGTTATACATTTCTTTCAGTTTGATATCTTTTCATAACATTGCAACTGTTTCTTCCATTGTTTTCTTTGTGTCAGCGCTGTCGTTACAATTATACACACTGGTATTTATCTAATCAATCGACTACTACTGGCGCCATCGGAATTGGAATTCTTCACTAGCTGCTGAATATGAGAACTAGGCGTTTATGAGGATGCCCCAAATGCGGCGATAATCAGCTCTAAGCTCAACAATCCGCGCTTAACATTCAATTAATGACCACAACTTTAACTCGTATGACTACAACTTTAACTCGTATGACTACAACTTTAACTCGTATGACTACAACTTTAACTCGTATGACTACAACTTTAACTCGTATGGCCAAAACTTTAACTCGTATGACTACAACTTTAACTCGTATGGCCACAACTTTAACTCGTATGACTACAACTTTAACTCGTATGGCCACAACTTTAACTCATATGGCCACAACTTTAACTCGTATGACTACAACTTTAACTCGTATGGCCACAACTTTAACTCGTATGACTACAACTTTAACTCGTATGACTACAACTTTAACTCGTATGGCCACAACTTTAACTCGTATGGCTACAACTTTAACTCGCATGGCTACAACTTTAACTCGTATGGCTACAACTTTAACTCGTACGGCTACAACTTTAACTCGTATGGCTACAACTTTAACTCGTATGGCTACAACTTTAACTCGTATGACTACAACTTTAACTCGTATGGCTACAACTTTAACTCGTATGGCTACAACTTTACCTCGTATGACTACAACTTTAACTCGTATGGCTACAACTTTAACTCGTATGGCTACAACTTTAACTCGTATGGCCACAACTTTAACTCGTATGACTACAACTTTAACTCGTATGACTACAACTTTAACTCGTATGGCTACAACTGTAACTCGTATGGCTACAACTTTAACTCGTATGACTACAACTTTAACTCGTATGACTACAACTTTAACTCGTATGGCTACAACTTTAACTCGTATGGCCACAACTTTAACTCGTATGACTACAACTTTAACTCGTATGGCCACAACTTTAACTCGTATGACCACAACTTTAACTCGTATGACTACAACTTTAACTCGTATGGCTACAACTTTAACTCGTATGGCCACAACTTTAACTCGCATGACTACAACTTTAACTCGTATGGCCACAACTTTAACTCGTATGACTACAACTTTAACTCGTATGACTACAACTTTAACTCGTATTACTACAACTTTAACTCGTATGACTACAACTTCAACTCGTATGACTACAACTTTAACTCGTATGACTACAACTTTAACTCGTAAGGCTACAACTTTAACTCGTATGACTACAACTTTAACTCGTATGACTACAACTTTAACTCGTATGACTACAACTTTAACTCGTATGACTACAACTTTAACTCGTATGACTACAACTTTAACTCGTATGGCTACAACTTTAACTCGTATGACTACAACTTTAACTCATATGGCCACAACTTCAACTCGTATGACTACAACTTTAACTCGTATGGCTACAACTTTAACTCGTATGGCCACAACTTTAACTCGTATGGCCACAACTTTAACTCGTATGGCTACAACTTTAACTCGTATGACTACAACTTTAACTCGTATGGCTACAACTTTAACTCGTATGACTACAACTTTAACTCGTATGGCTACAACTTTAACTCGTATGGCTACAAATTAAACTCGTATGACTACAACTTTAACTCGTATGACTACAACTTTAACTCGTATGACTACAACTTTAACTCGTATGACTACAACTTTAACTCGTATGACTACAACTTTAACTCGTATGGCCACAACTTTAACTCGTATGACTACAACTTTAACTCGTATGACTACAACTTTAACTCGTATGGCTACAACTTTAACTCGTATGGCTACAACTTTAACTCGTATGACTACAACTTTAACTCGTATGACCACAACTTTAACTCGTATGACTACTACTTTAACTCGTATGGCTACAACTTTAACTCGTATGGCCACAACTTTAACTCGTATGACTACAACTTTAACTCGTATGACTACAACTTTAACTCGTATGACTACAACTTTAACTCGTATGACTACAACTCTAACTCGTATGGCCACTTTAACTTGTATGACTACAACTTTAACTCGTATGGCCACAACTTTAACTCTATGACTACAACTTTAACTCTTATGACTACAACTTTAACTCGTATGACTACAACTTTAACTAGTATGACTACAACTTTAACTTGTGTGACTACAACTTTAACTCGTATGACCTCATTTTTAACTGGTATAACCACAACTTTAGATTAACTCGTATGATCACAACTTTAGATTAACTCTTATGACCACAACTTTAGATCAATTCGCATGGTCACAACTTTAGATTAACTCGTACGACCACAACTTTAGATTAACTCCTACGACCACAACTTTAGATTAACTCGTACGATCACAACTTTAGGTTAACTCGTACGACCACAATTATAGATTAACTCTTACCTGGCGGCTTTTCCACACAACCTGACCCGGGTGTGTACCTGGACGTTTCATTACAAACACAGATGGCCTGGTTGTTGGTGCTGGTCATGCAGCTGCCTCCCGGGGCGCAGTCTTTGGGGCAGGGCTCTTGGCAGAACAGCCCGGCCCAGCCGTCGTAGCATTTACAGCTCATACCTGCATGAGACAGAGGCAGAAATATGGACTTTCTGGTGGGTTAAAGGTAAGAGTAGTTCAGGGGTACTTACATAAGGTCAAAATAAAGTAAAGCTCCCTTTTTACGCTTTAGGCGCATCAGGAATATGAAAAGAGCACTCCATACTTTTACAGACCAATCGGCACTAGGTGGGTAATGTGGTCAGCACTACGCCGGCCGTCTTTACTTCGCCAGGGCATATATCCTGGGACCCATTTAAGGCTGGGTCTACCTGCGACGCCCTATACTATGATAAAAATCCACGCAGCCAGCAGTGGGTTTCGACCGCGGTACGTCGGAATTACGAGTCGGACTCGCAATGCCTAAGCCATGGACGCCCCTATAAAACTGAGAAGATGGCGCTATAGAAGTTCTAGACAACCCTGCCTTTGATCTTATGCAGCATTCACTACGTGTGTACAGGCTTTTGCAAATATTAATGAGATGATTGCTGATTCCCACAACATATTCCTGTCGACTCTATCGAAGGCTTTTTCTTGGTCTATGAATGTCAACAAACATGTCTTATAATGTTCTATTGCCCTCTCTGATAGTTGTCTCAATGTATAAATGGCATCTGTGCCACTTCTGTTTTGTCGAAAGCCCATCTGTGCTTCTGAAAGTTGATACTCTATCAATGGTCTAAGCCTTTTTTCGATGATCTTAGCACACATTTTCCCAGTGTGACTGAGAAGTGATATTCCTCTGTAATTAGTACATTCCCTCTTACTTCCTTTATTTTTCCACAGTGGGACAATGACAGCAGTTTGCCAATCTGATGGTGTTTCTTGATTGTCCCATGCCACCTGAAATATTCTCTTTAACCATATTGCTCCCGTTTCTCCTGCTGCCTTGATGGCCTCAGCTGGTAGATCATCAATACCTGTCGCCTTTAGTCTAGGGGCGGTTCGAATGACATATTTTACCTCATCCAATAATATACCTGGTTCTAGTTCCTCTGCTGTTAGTTCCGAGTTGTTTTTATGTTCTTCCCTGCTTTTATCTGTTTTATTGCAGCTAAGTAATGCTTCAAAGTAATTACTCCACCTTAATTAGTCAGATCTGTCAAAAGGATGCACACGCAACACCCAAATTCTGGAACAGTTCGTCAGTCCAGAAGTAGACGAACAACCAGAACTGTCCGCCAAAGTTTACAGCTGGTGAACGCAAAGAAGAAGAATATATATATATATATATATATATATATATATATATATATATATATATATATATATATATATATATATATATATATATATATATATATACAAAAAAAACGGCACCAAAGGGGCAATAATGAGAGGCGCAGTGGCGTAGTGGCTAGACGATCACCTGCGGATTGGAAGGTCGTGGGTTCGCTTCCTGACGGAGCCTGACTTTTTTCAAAAATGACCTTGGCCCCAAGGTCGACCCAGCCTTGAATGGGTACCAGGAGCAGTCCTGGAAGTAAAGGGCGACCGTCGTGATGCTGACAACATCCCCCACCAAGTGCCGATTGGTCTATAAAAATAGAGGTCTAGCCCACTAGGACATCACACAAGCAATAAACACCCGATGACACAAAGGGCCACCATGTGGATGAGGATCACCCGTAGAGAGGTCCCGGAAACCGCGTTCAGCCATTAGACATTATTAATGTCCGGGCTTTATTGAGACCTCTGGCAAGAGCCAGGGTGCAGCTTCAAATAATGCAAAATTGCATTCCACAAAGGTATGACTGATAGGTATATAATCCGCAACTCACATCTGCATGTTCCATTAGGACAAAATTTTCATAGAAGATGACAGAAATAAAAAGAGAATAGAAATGTCTAAAACTGTCTTCAATAAGATACGAAAATCATCGACAGAGAGAGAGAGAGAGAGAGAGAGAGAGAGAGAGAGAGAGAGAGAGAGAGAGAGAAACAACACATTGTACGTGAGAATCATCACATGCTAAGTACATTCAATCATGATGTATGATGCAGAAACTTGGACAATGAACAGTCAAGTAGAAAATGGAACTGAGTCTCTAGAAGTGTAGGTATACAAAGAGGAAAACGTCTTTTTTCATGGAAACAAAAACAATCAAATATAAAGGTTCTGTAAATAATACGTAGGAAAAAAGAATTACTGAAAGAAATGAAAAAAAAAGGCAATTGAAATATATTTGCCATATTAAAGGAGATGTTGTTCTATACTATACGTGTGTCATCACACGAACCGATACATGCTGCAAAAGATCGCAGATTGTGGAGAGGCATGATCGCCCACGCCAGTCGGCAAGGCACCTGATGATGATGACTGGTCGAGGACCAGAGAGCAAAACGTAGATAACGGTACAAGCGGAAGAACAACATGAAGGGATGGACAAACAACAGTAAGAGAGTGTGTACGACAATTGCAAGAGACAGTGCTAGAGATCTACTGCATCCAACATTCACTGTGGAGACGGCACCTGATTGATTGGTTGATTGAACAACTGCACACGCACTGAAAATATGCAAACAATTTCTCTTACCTCCCGTGCAGACTCCGTTTACACAGACAAAACCTGGAAAACACTTGGCTACAATTGGTTCCTGAACTACGTTTTCTTCATTAGATATTGCCTTCTTGCCAGTAATGTTGGCTAAATGTTTGCACAGGATCGACGTGTTCCAAGCTTGAGTCGCTGGAGGGGCAACAACCGTGGGGGTCCTTGTGGAAGTCCCTAGTGGAGGTACTGTGTTCTCTTCGTTTGTTGAAGAGTTTGACGAGGACTCGCTGCCGTTGCTGATTCCAGACGTGACTGATGTAGCAGAGAGTTTGGTCGTTTCTGCCGAGTTGTGTGGTGGCATTGCGGGCATGAGGCTTGGCTGCTCAGTCCGCGGCGGTAGGGTTGGTGTTGTGTTCGCTAGAACGTGCATCGATAATGACAGAAGTATGATTGTCCATAAAGCTACTTTGCGGAATGCCATTTTGGTTTTCTGGTATTTGTCTATGTTTTCTGTTCATTTGGTAGGCTTAAAACTAAACAGTATGATGGTGTCACAAACAGTTTCAGTTAGTACATATAATTATTACATTAACCCCTTACATACCCTCATTGTAACATCTTTGCAGGCTGAATGGAATATCTGCCGGGACACTACAGCTTTCGTTTGTTATGTTGACTAGTGTCTCCTTTTATCGATCTACTTCTCTGTATAAGTGGTGATCAAAACATTGTCTGTTTGTTTAATATTTATAATTAACTCATTAAGTTAATGAGAGCACGACCACCCACCCAATTTTTTTAGTCTCGGCGCCACTGCCTTTTGTTATTTGTTAATAATTGGTCTAAGATGTAAACTGCTGGGTTGTGGCGGCTAGACGCTAGCTTGTGGGTCAGAAGGTCATAGGGTTAGGTCCTGATGGAGCCGGACTTTTTTCAAAATAACCTCGGCTCCTGGGTCGACCCAGCTCTAAATAGGTACCAGGCACCCGATGTGATGTTGACCATATTATGCACTAAGTGCGGATTGGCCAATCAAATAGAGTTCTAGCCCTATTTACACAATACGCCTGAAAGCGTGAGAAAGGGCTCTTTACTTTGCTGGTCTAAGTGAAGAAAATAACCGACTTGTGTGTCTGCCTGCACGCTAAAGTGTGCGGCACATCAGGGCATAGCAACTAAGAGCTAGCCACCGTGAAACACAGAGCCTTGTCTAATTGCTTACCCACACAGGACTACTCCTGGCTGGTGTTACAATTGCGGGCTCTAATTATAACATGGGGGGGGGGGGGGGGGGGCAGAACGGGCTATATGAAAAACTTTTTTAAAGGCAAAACTTTGTTGGCACTCACCTCAGTGTCTTAACAAAGGTGCCGGTACTCACAACAAAGTGTCTATTAGAAGCGCTGTCAAAAAATGATGTCTTAAAATATACGGTGTCCATACTGTGCCAGAAAGCTTCCTAGTTCGTCTGCCTTATAGACTGAGATTTTACCAAAATCTCAGGATGGCAAGCCTTTAGGTAGCAGGCCGGAGGAGACAATCTGAATGAACGGAGGGTGGGGTTGGGAAGAGAGTTCTGTCAATGCAGTTGCTAGCACGATTGCCTGTCGGAACGACGAGTAAAGATTCGAATCCCATTGACGCCGATTTCTAAATGTAACCTTAGCAACTCAGGACTTGCCATCGTGGAAATGAGTATCAAGAAGTTTTATTGGAAGAAAAAGTGGGATGTTCAGAACTTATTATCTGAAACCGTTAGTAACTAGTTGGTATGTAAACATAATGCGACGGTCGCCATATACATCAAAAAGCCTCACAGAGTGGACACTACTATCACTAGAACCGCTACTGCTAGTACTACCTATTCCTACAACAACAGCTATTACTACCACTATTATAACTACATCTACTACTACAGCTGCTACTATTGCCATACTATTTACACAACTAATAGTACTACTACCACAACTAATCTGTGGCTTAGGCGTTGCTAACGCGCTTCGTAATGCCGGGTTCGATCCCAGCTGCGGGCCTTGCGCCTTGCCTTGGTTTCGACAGTGGTATTGAGAAGCCAACCGTCCAGCAAGCAATGGCAAACTACTGGACGTAGATTAGCCTAGAAAAACCTCAACAGCCAAAAAAAAAAATGCTGGGGTGGGT